ATATATGAAGTTGTTGGATTGATTGATCAAGGACGACCAGGTACATTTTCTTACTCTAATATGTGTGATTTGCGTGATAATATTCTCTAAAAACATTATATGTACTATATGGATTAAGGATTGGTTTGTACTTTGTTTTGGTAAACTTTCTCGACGCTAGACGGTAGCATGGTACCGCGTAACGGTATCCAGCTACCGCCTCAGGTCATTCCTTATTGTTGGTAACTGCAGCTAGATGGTTGGGGGTACCGGATCGCCGGTACCAGGGTACTGCCCGGCGGTACAAGGGTACCATGTCAACCCCTAGCCACCCGCTTCTTTGTTTGTTTCTTCTGATTCTAATTTTGGATTTATTCCATGATCCTGTGTGCTGCATGACGGTAAGTGAAAGGTGTTTATACCTGACATTAGCCTGCTAATTGTTGAGTATGAATGCTTATCTACGAATTTTGAAATATGAAATTATGAATTTGAATACGGATAGGCTACCTAGATGAACTATACGTAGACCGAGAAAAAGAATAAGAATACAATTAGGAATAATTGGTCATGTGATTAGCCAGCGTGCATGCCTGATCAGTTGGGTAAACCGTACGCACAAGGGTCGTAGGGTTGTTGGGCTTTCGTTTCGTAATATGGGTAGGAATATGGTTTTATCATAATAATAATATTATTATATTATAAAATTTTTATATTTATTTATTTAATAGTAACGTATATTTTAATCATCATGTTTACACGAATGTCCAAACTTAACAAACTAAATCCTGTTGGTCTCTATTTCACGAGATCTACATGAAAACCTATTTTTTAAATAAAAAGGTCAACTTTAAAAACAGTTCATATTTTTGACTCAGAAATTAAAGTAACATATTTATTATTACTACAATAACGACTAACTACTAAGCAAGTTTTTAGATCGTTACACTCCAATAATATAAATGACCTACAGATATTAAGGGTAGACACAACAATGGATATGATTAGAGCTAGTTGACGAAGGACATTGAGATTGTGAGGACATTGAAACTACAATAGACATTAATAAAGCACAGGGTTTCTGGTGGCGACGACGATGGAAGGTGGCGGCGTTTGTGAGTTTAGATGGTGAGGGGGTGATGGCAGCTGGCAGGTTGTTATGTGGCAGTAGGCATGGTGACATGATTTGAATTAGATTCAAGTAAACCTAAAATTATCAAATGGGCATTTTGGTACTTTTATATTAATAATAAACTAATCCAAAGAATGAGATCAGCTTAATATAAGTTTGTTTTGAAACAAGCTTAAGACTTGGTATAAATTAGTAGCTTAATTACTAACCTTATTAAGTTTTTATTAATTTAGTAAATTTTATTAATTATTTGAATTAAATAATTTTTAAAGATAATTTTTTTATTTGCAAAAATACATTTACTTTTTCAAATTTTAAAACATATGAGTATCTTTTTATACATGTTCATTGGGACTTTATGTTTAGGTCATTTTTTACAGGACATTGCACGAGTACAAATATTAATTATATATATATATATATATATCTCACCCCTATATATAGGGGTGAGATCATGTGAGAAAGGCTCCTAGTGAAAGAAATAAGAATGATGGAGAGCCCTTGGATATTGAGAAATGGATGGCTGAGATTGTGTAGTCACTTATTATTAATTGGTGGACTGCACATGGTAAGTTTTAATTACCGTGCCAACAAAAAAGGAAGGGAAGGAGCAGGAAAAGGGTATTTTTGCCATTGAAAAGTGCACACGTGCACGCCCCAAAAAGGAATCCCGTAGCGTGTTCCTATTTTGGTGCTACTTTCGAGTTGGTAACGCAGAAACATGGTTCATATTCCAATTAAAAGAGGGCTCTTGGAGTTGTATACTCCAATTTGAATTCTGGTGGCTATGGCAACGGAGAGGAGTGCTACGACGGAGAAAGAAATTGGCGAACAGAGTATTACGCCGTTAACATCGCCGGAAGAAACATGTAATGTTTTAGGCTTAATTTTTTGTGTGTACTAGCTGCGTTTGGGAAATATGATGCACATAATTTAATTTTTATGTCATTAATTTTGGGATATGGAGGAGTGGGAACTTAAAAATTGTAGAGTAAAAGTCTGGTGTTTATTTTTTATCGTTTTGTGGGAGGGGGTGGAGCAGGAGGAGTGGATGGATAATAGATGTCATTAGTTGTTTGGTGTTGTATGATGCATTTCTAGGGTTTTATTGTGCATGATTGTAGTGTTTGTGTGCTTAAGTGGTGGAAAAGGATGGAATTGAAATTAAAGTGAAAGAGTTTAAAATTATTCCGAGAGTAAAGGGTGGATTGTTTTTAATGGTTTTTGACTTGATTTTGTGATTTTTAATGTATAGGGACTTTTTATGCACCATTGTTATATTTTTGAGCACTTTGTAGTGTTTTTGAAGCAGAGTGTGTGTAATATAAAATTATAAGATCAGGATTTAATCAGATAATAAGATGCATGGTATGGGGTTAGAGAAGCAATTATGTTTTTTAATTGGATGAGCAAAGTAGGTGTTGTAGATTGCATCAAGCATTGGGCATGCATGATGGTTACTTTGATGCTTGTTGGGTGTTTTTTTGTGGAGTTTGAATTAAAATAATATGGGATTGCTGTTTTTATAAGATAGTATTTTGGGTATGCATTGTCTGGTTGGTTGGATGCAATGTGGGATTCTAAATAAGCAAGGTAGTGCATTGTCCATGAAATAGTAATTTATGTGCAATATATTGAAAAAGAATATTCTATTTAATAGCATGGATAAGTATCCCACATTTGCATAAATTTCAGGGGAAGTATTGGGTGGGTTTATGTATTCTTGGCATTCTTTTGAGTTACTTTGTTTAATTTTATACTGTAGGGGGAGGATTGAAGCGCCCTAATTTTTTTGAGCAGTTTGTAGTGATTTTGATGTAAAAGTGTGTGCAATATGACTTCATTAGAATCAGAATTTAATTGGTTAATTAGATGCATGATGTGTGGTTGGATAAGCAGTCACAATTAATGATTGGATATGCATTTTATATGTGCTAAATTGCATAATTCATCAGCATGATTGCTGCTGGCTTTGATGCTTGGAAGTGGGTTCTAAGCAAGCAAGATGTTGACATGTTTATGTTGTGTTTCTGGTTAAACAATGCATCATATTAGATGATTTAAAGTGACATTCTTGATCTTGGTACTTTAAAACTTATGCAGGAATGACATTGTGTTCAGTGGGTATAATGTATTAGTTGAACATGGAGACCTTCAGACGTTGTCGACTGGCCATCACATTTCTCCACATGTAGTGGATGCTTGGTCTGTTATATTGAATCACAAGGAGCTGTTTCGTAGCGTTGCATCTCCTGCACGCTTTTTTGCATGGACGATTAGATGTGTATGTTACTTTCTAATGATACACTTAAATCTGCCATTTTTTATGCCTGGAAATAATTTATTATACAATCAATACAACACTACAAGAAAACGCCAAAACAACGACGGATTGCAGCGACGGAATTTAGTTCGACGCTAACAGCGACGGATTTAGCGACGGAAGGGTACTCCAACCAAAACTAACGACGGAAAAAAAGGTCCGTCGCTCAGTATTGGCGGGAGGTTGTGCGCGGCATTTTTGACGACGGAATTACCGACGGAATTTTCCGTCGTTAATGTTAGCGATGGAAAATTTCCGTCGCTGACCGAATTTTTTTGAAACGCTGTGTTTTGGCTTGGCGACGGAATATATCCGTCGCTACTTTCCGTCGCTTCAAAAACAGATCTATACCCTCTTCCTTAGTCAGTTTCACCGATTTGCAGACAGAAATCGTCGTCTCCGCGTGGAGTCTGAGGTCTGCTGTCCAAATCGTCGTCGAACCTCCGCCGCCGCGCCATCCGCTCGTCGTCTCCGCCCGCCACCATCAATCGCCGGTCCTCCTTGCTGTCCGGTCATCGTCAGGTCTTCACTCCATCTTCAAATCTCAGGTTTTTTTCCTTTTTTATTTTACATTTAAAGTTGTAAACAAATTAGACTATAGATTATCTTTTTACATTCGAATTAACAATTATTATTGTTTGATGATATAATTAAAAAGTATATTATTATGTGTAAACTTTTGACATTTTCTTTTAAATTTGAAATTATTGAAATTAGGGTTTTTTCCCCAA